CGGTGAGAAGGGAAGGGTGTGACAGAGCTGGCTGCCACCCCTGCCAGTCTAGACCCAGAGAGGAAAAGCAGAGGACTCAGGTAACCAACCTTCCCATGTTTGGGGGCGGCCGGATATGGCCTACCCGCACCAACACCTGCTGGATCTGAGGCTTCCAACGAGCGAGGCCTCCTCTTAAATGAAGACGCTATGTGAGCAAATGTCCCACCATACCGAGTACAAGCCCATCAGACAGCCCTTAGTCCACAGTCACAGCCACGTATTGTCGAAATCCTGATTCCTTAGAAGACACAACTGCCAACCAGCAAGCCGTTTCCTCACAGTAAGCAAACACCATCAGAATTCTTCTTCTATGTTATTTCCATAGAGTTGGGTAGTTTCAAAGGCAACCCTGGGACAGGGACCACCAAATTCAACCTGAGATGTGATAATGTTCTTCTACCAAAATTTCCAGTTCAAATTTCAGAAAAGGGAAGCCGTTGCTTGCATGGATTTACGAGAATATCCAGCTGAAAAACCAAGTCCTACCTGGTTGCCAGGAGAGCAGCATTTATTTGCCATCTTCATCTGCAGAGAAAAGGCAGCAAGGAATGAGCACCACAAGGATGTGAAGGCCAGGGACTTCCTACCTGCCTAACCTTGGGCAGCTGAACCCGATAAGCCCCCCCACACCTGCACTTAGAGACCCACTGCTAGTGTGATGTAGCTCCCATCTGCAAACACAACAGAGGTAACTGATGGTTACATTTCAACACCTATAGTGGAAAAGATAGTTCCTGCTCTACATAATATTAGGCAATTATAATAGTCACAGCTCACATTGGTTACCTCCAAACTCTGACAGCTCAATGCTATGTTGAGAATTTTTTTTTTTTTTTTTTGTCTTCTGAGACAAGGTCTTGCTGTATATTCCAGGCTGGCCTTGAACTCACTATGCAGCCCTGGCTGGCTTTATCTCACTGTGCTCATCCTGCCTCCACCCCCTGGAGTGCTAAGAATACAGGCTTCAACCACCACACCGGACTTAGTTCACAAAATTTTACCGATGAGTAAACGGAAGTCCAAACATCCTGGCCATTATTTGCACCCGCCTAATCTGCTCGGCTGGCTGCAGCAATCCAGGAAGAGCTCCTGAGCAGAAGGATCTTTGTTCTCAGAAGAATTTCTGCTAATACCAACCTCTTCCACCCACCCATCTTTGGAATTCAAAGTGTCTGAATTTGCAGACTAAGACTAAGACCTTAAGAAAATGCCTTCTCAAATAGCTGTAGAAAGGGTGGCAGGATGACTTTGGAATGGAAACCTCACTCTCGGCTGCACCCCCAAGATGTCAATTGTTCACCTCATGGGGGGACTACCCACTTGGGCCCCCCTCCTGTCCCTCTCTCAGACAGGAGCTTTCTTTCCCTCAATAAATATATTCTGCTCATTAAAAAAAAAAAATTGGGGCTGGGGACATGGCTCAGTAGAATAAGATCTTACCCCAGCAGGCCGAGTCGGGACCATGGGGAAGGACCGGGCAGTGGGCCTGCAGTCTGAATGTGCCTCTGTCCCAAGCTGCTGGGGCTCCTGAGCTACCACACTGCCAGGACAGCCCAGAAGGGGTGAGAGGCCAGGGCCAGTGCAGGGGTGGAGGTGAGAACAATGGCTGTAGCTGAGGCATCAGCCTGGACCAGCCTGCTGCTCCTCCAGGAAACTTAACCCTGGACACCTGCTCCCCTCCCACTCTGGCTCTTATTAGTCCTTTCTTTTTTAAAAAAGAAAATACTCATCCTATTGATTTTGGACAACAAGTTATTACTCATGAACACAGAATGTTTTTATTTTTATCCTGTCCAAGATGCCCAAAGTAAAAATTTGAGATGTTGTATTTTTAGTGAGATGTGCCTTTTAATAAATTTTAATAATATTTTGCAGAATTACTTTTTTAAATTTCAATTAGATTTCCCCAAGTAAAAATTTCACATTGTATCAATGCATTTGGATAAAATATATGTATATAATTACCCCCATACAAATATTGTTGTGTATGTGTGCTGGGAAGTGGGGGAAGGAGAGGGAGAGGGAGGAGGAGGTAGGGGAGGGGAGAGAGAGGGGAGGAGGAAGGGAAGGGGAAGGGGAGGGGAAAGAAAGGGGAGGGGAAAGGGAGAGGAGGGGAGGGGGAGGGGGAGAGGAGGGGAAGGGAGGGGAGGGAGGAGAGAGATCTGGGAAGTACCCAGTGTTAGCCTTCTCTGCTGTGCTGTATTTGGAGAACCTTGGGCAACTTCAACTTTAACTTTTGGGGTCAGAAATGACATCTGTTGAACTCCCATTCTTGCTTCTCTCTGCAGCCCTCACTGGGGTCAATCCCCATGAGCAAACTATCCTGTCTATCCATGCAGAGGAGCGCAGGGAGGTGGGGACCGCGTGCTCACACTCTGTAACATGAGGTGGCTGATGTTGGCAGAGACTGCTCGGAGCCAGTCGCCGCAGTCCTGGGCCGTGGAGAACTGGAGGACTCCAGAGCGTGCCCCATCCAGCGCCAGCACCTCGAAAGCATGGGACCTACGAGAAAGATGGGAAGGCTGCCTCAGGGACCACATGCAGCCAGGTCCTGATCTACCATTCCCTGGGGAAACAGCACCAGCAGCTGTAGTCACTAACAAAAGGGCTGGACTTGCTACAATGCAAAACCTGGGGTTTCCTCACTAACCAAAGCTGTCCTAATTGAGTAAACCCAAGAAAAGCAGCTCCTAAGGCAAAGAGCCTTGCTCGTGTTGAAATCCTGGAGTTGCTGTCTTATGGGCTGCTGCACTGTAATTCTTTGGAAGGCCCCTGGCCATGGGCTATCTCTGGCTCTTGCTACTGAGGATGATGTGGCCCCTCACCCCTGGCACTAACAGACCCGGGGCTCCCCATTTCCTCTCCAGAAGATCCCCCAGCCCTGCCATCGAGAGCTGGGAGCAGCAGCGACTAAATTCATCTCCAGCTCGGAAGTAGTCTTCCTTCCTCTGCAGTCCTTTGAAAGATGTCAGAAGAGCTAAAGACATCAGATTACAGCACCACATGCATGCATATATGTACAGCAGCACAGACCTCGAGAGCCAATCCTGGGGTCAGCCTGCACACCCATCAACAGACAGATGGACAATGAAAACGCAGAATGTATACCCAAAGCTATATACTGCTTGGCTATAAAGGGTAAACCTGAGACATTGGTAGGAAGACGGACGCACCTGGAAAATGTTAAGTGAAATCAACCAGACATACAAGCTTAAATACCATTTGGTTTCTCTCATTTGATTAGGGCAAAGTACAGATAAAGAACAAAATAATTATGACTGATAGGAGAAAACCAAGAGATAGATCTTTTGCAAACTGGAAGTGGTCCTGGAGACCAAGGCTGAGGGGATGTGGGAGGGGCAGGGGAAGCAAGAAGAGCTTTATTTTAAAGAGAATAAAAAAGTTAAAAAGCATTTAAAATGACACAGAATTTCAAAGCAAGATGGTGGCAAATCAACAATGGTTGTTATATAGTGTATTGCTATCTTCAAAGTAGTTGTTCAGATTGCCACATGAGTCGTGTACATCTGCAGTGAAGGTGAACATTGTATGTCCAAAACATGAGCTAAGATATAATAACAGTAAGAATGAAATTGAGGGGAGGTGACTTGGAAATGGAGGGACAAAGACTGAAAAGGCATCAGGCGGTGCTGTATGCATGCACCTGCCCCCCAAGATGGTGCATCCTTCGTGTCTGGACATCAGCAGAGTTTAGCTGCTGTTTATGGCCAAGGAGCAAAGGCAAAGGGGCCCCGCCCAGAGCTGCGGCACCAAGCCCTCACCAAACCTGCACGCCCAGTCAGGAGTCAGAGTAGCTAGCTTCTGTCCACCCAGATCTCGCACCTGAGGAACCGCACTGCAAGATGTGCAGATATGCAGAGACTCTGACCTCAGCCTGGCGGGAGCAGGCCTGTGAGAGTCACCAGCTGTCAGACTAAACAGAAAGATGTCAATGAGCCCATTCTAGATGCACTAAATACAGTAATGGAGCTGAGAAAGACCATGTTTAGAGGAGGAAGGAGATGTAGAGACTGCTGCCTCAGTTTTTCCAAACTATGGTAAGTCAATCTTGGGCCTGCTGCAACTGTGTGAAAAGAGGACCCATGACCCTCGGGGACCCTGAGGAGACTGTGTATGCCAGGACTTGTGCCACAGGGGCTATGGGTAGGCAGGGTGTCTGTGAGGACTCCGTGTCTTCTGGAAAGAGGCCAGTGGTGCTCCCATGCTGGGGGTATCATCTAGACCATCCAGATCCTATATGTCCCCCTAAGCATGATATGCCTCTGCTTACAAAAGTATATGCACACACACACACACTCACACTCACATGCATGCGCACACCTATTCACATAATTGAGTTCAGTTTTTTTTTTTTAAAAGATATTTTCCACCCTTTTTTAAAAAATTTATGTGTGTGTGTGTGTGTGTGTGTGTGTGTGTGTGTGTGTGTGGCCAGCTCAGCCCACCAGGTGGCGGGGCTGGCTAGCATGTGCTGGGGGATTGAACCGCAGTCCCTGTGCTTTGCTAAGCTTGTTCTAAGTCAGTGCTTTAGACCACTGAGCCATCTCACCAGCCCATTGAGTTCAGTTTCTGCTTAATCCCTTTGCATAACTGGGAAAATAAATGTAGCTGTATTGGTTTTCTTCTTGGTACTATTTCATGAGTACCAGAAAAGATTTTGTGTCTTTTCTTTGTTTTTAAGAGCAAATGCACAATCAAGGGTCTTGGGTCTTGGCCCTAACAAGCACACACACATAACCTTTTCTTGTGATGCTAAAATTGTATTCTACCAAAAAATCCACATGAGGGCCGGGGAGATGGCTCAGTAGAATAAGCACTTGCCTGGCAAGCACAAGGGCCTGAGTTCAATCCCTGGTTCCGAAAAAAAAAAAAAAAAATCCGTACGTATTAAAAATGCACAGCTAAGGGTAGTATTAAGCACACATGCACAAGCAAGCGTCTCTCCTCTCCTACTTTTGGAAGACGGCAGCCTGCACATCTTTTCTGTCCAGAAAATCCAGCTTCCGCTAACGGGACTGCAAGCGTGTTATGAATGATTTTAGCCCAAGCTTGCACTGCAAGCACGTCACACTCTCTACTCCAGACATCACTTTACAGAACAAATGAAATGACTTTTAACAAATATGAAATACTCCAAATCCAGAAGAGAAATACATTGATTGTTTATATAAATAAAACATTGTAAAAGATCAAATGGCTAAATCCAATGGGACTTCTAAGACTCACAGTTTAGTTTTTATATTTATTTTTTGTGTTGTTATTTTTGAGGGAGGGTCTTGCTGTATAGTTTAGGCTGCCCCTTAACTCACTGGCCTTGAACATGCGGAAGTCCTCCTGCATCAGCCTCCCAGTGCAGGGATTATAGGCATGTGCTACCATACCCTGCTTTATAACTATTTTGAATAACAGAATTTGCAGTTTTATCCCACAGTTATGCAAAATAAATGCAACCAAACCCTGTGTCAGGTCTACATTATCTCTGTGTCCAGAGTCAGTATACTCAAAGGAGTGGCTTCTGAATTCCTCCCTGATGCGTTTTGTAGTGGATGCTGTACTTCCAGGTTCCTAGGACTACAAAGTCTTAATCTGTATCAAGGAATCCTCTCAACCCCTGCCTGTCCCTCCCAGCACTGCTGGGAAGCTGCTCAGCCTGTGTGGACTGCCATCTGGGGCCGGTAGGGCCACCAAAGTCACTGCATGTCCACCCACTGAGTGCATGTGGGAAGCTGACCCAGGCTAACGCTGACCCTCCCAGGATGCACCGGGTGGCTGCTCTTCCCTGAACAGCACAGCTCTGCCGTTCTCAGAGGCTGACCCACCTTCAGCCCACAATTCCTGGTGGTAACCCCACAATCCCTTTGTTTGTCTCGAAGTGAAAAGCCTGTCAGACTGTCTATAGCCGCCTGTGTCTAATGGGTGGATGCAGCGCTAACATCTGGCATTCGGTGGCTAAAGGAACTGTGCCAGTTCCTCGTTTTTGAACTATCTCTCTTCCTTGTATAATTAACATTTTTAAATCTACCACTTTATCATTTGGTCCTTGTGTTTCTTCTCTCCACTATAGCAAGTCTAAGTAGGTGGTGGTCAGTTCTTTATGAGTAAACTTCCATCACCAAGTGTTTGCTGTATTTTCTTTCTTTTTTTTCTTTTCTTTTCTTTCTTTTTTTTTTTTTAATTTAGAACAGGGCCTACAGAGTCTCACCACACAGATCTGACTCGTAGTGACTCTCCTGTTTTCAGCCTCCCAAGAGCTGGGACTACAGGCTCGCACCACCACGCCCATTCTCATTTGCCATCTCAGCGCGCCCCATGGCGGGGCCAGCAAGGCAGGCTGCGATTGTTGTGCTTTCAACTGAGGACAGCTGCCACCCCTGAGCTGGCTCAGTGTATGCAAGCTGGCATTGTCCAGGAGTGCGTGCAGCTGGAGCACAGCATGGGTTTGCCAGCTCTAGGGCCAGAGATTTCCCCTGGTCATTTGTGCTTTCCCTCTTTGCTGGGGCATGTGGCAGGACAGAGCACTTGCAAGAGTTTTTTAGCGCATATGATGCTTATGGAGCCTTTTTCTAATATTTTATGGCTAGAATATTGTTGATGTTACAGAAGCACAAGGAGGAGCGGAGGTAGCATCCCCAATGAGTTCAAAACAGGCTACCACACTTCATGCCTCCTTCCTCTCTTATTTGTGCCTCGTGAGTGTACATTTTAAAATGGGTCAGCAATGTGTAAGGACTGGGTATGCCCCCTAACAAAAGGATGCGCATTCCCGGAAACATCAGAGTGTCCACACCAAGAGATATGCTGGCTGCGCTCTGTGCCATGCGCGTACGCAGAGCGGCAGTGCCACACACGTCGGGACTGCACGGGTAGCAGCATTCTTCTCTTCAATCCACATGAAAGCCCTGGCCTTCTGTCTCCAGCGTAAGGGCAAGGTGAGGACAGGAACCCTGAAACCTGCCCCTCGCCAGCGAGGCTATGGGGCTCCCTGACAAACCTGAGGAGGATGCACACTACCAGCTTCAGAGAGGTACCTCTCAGGGACTCCAAGGAACAGGACAGGAAGAGCGGCAGTAGATACTGTCAGGCTACAAAGGGGTCTGCGCATGCTTGGTGGCAACTGCAGATGCTGTGGCCCTGGGGAGGGCTGGCTGGACTTGCCCTTCCCTCTCCCCGTCTCCAGTCTCCACCTCCAAGATAAACACAGTGCAGGACACTGACCACAGGTCCCTAACGCCCCCACCACCAGTCCTTTCCCCTCTTTCTCCTGAGACATTTATTCAGGAAGCCACCTGCCTGCTCAGGGGCTCTGCCAGTGCTGCTGTGCAGGAGGAGGAGGCCCTGACATCTACAAATGCACTAAGAGGAGGACTTTTGAAACGGCATTAATGTTGAAACATGATGCTCTCTCTTGCAAAACAAACTGAAGCATTTAGCAGGCTAATTTTGGCGGGTAGTATCACTTTGTAAAATGTGCTGATCTGCAGTCTGTCCGCATCATCGTGACTGTTATAAAGTCCATCTGGCCCTCTGTAGACGTTTTCTTCTAAAAGAAGGTGAGTTCCACCAAAACAATATGGAATTTCACTGTAAGTGATAAAATTTAATTTCATTGTTGTTTTCAAAACCATGACAAGCGTGGGATTTTTTTTTTCTTCCATTTTATTTATTTTGGTACAGGATCTCACTATGCAGCTCAGACTTGTAGTGATCCTCCTGTTTTCAGCCTCTCCAGCACTAGGGTTACAGGCCTGCACCACCATTCCTGACTCGGCCACCAGCTCAGCACACCCCAGGGGCGGGGCTGGCACAGCATGCAGGACCCAAGATCGAACCCCAGTCAACAAGCATGAGATTTCAACAAGCCTAAAGTAGCAGTTTGGCTCCCTTACTCTCCCTTGCCTTTCTCTTTCCCTCCTTCCCTGTCTAGGAAAAGACAAAGTCTAAGACTATTCAACTTTTCCCAGGTCAGGGATGAGAGGAGTGAAAAGGGTTGGTCTGAGTGTGAGATCATACAGGGGCCTTACGAGAAAGGGTTGAGCCAGGCAGAGTGATTAGGTATGACATGGGCTCTTGGACCTTCTTTGGGGGAAAATCCCCCAAGTCTGAGTTTGTACTTCTTTTTTGGCCTTAATTACTGAAACCCTGCCTCTGCTCAGAGCCCCTCATAGCTGCTTCCCATCTCGGAAGCATGGGTATAAGGCCAGGTTGCCCACCACTGGCTGAGTAGGTAGAGCCAGAGGAGAACACCACATCTCCAAGCCCTGCTCCCACCTCCCGGTCCGCAAGATCTTTCTAAGGCATCTTCTAAGCGCCTTTGTTGCTATGGTAATGCTGGACATTCTGCAGGCCCACAACTGCTTGTGCTCTTAAGGATACCCCTCTTTATTTTATAACACACACACACACACACACACACACACACACACACACACACTGGTTGCAAGAGACCCTGCCCCAATCCAGATCCTAGAGGCCTTGCTCAGAGCTTTCCGAGGGAATGTGGAGGCTCTGAAAAGACCAGATTCCTGTGAGGGCTTGAGTGTGGATGGATTTGCCTGAGGAAGGACCTGGATGATGTCTGGGCTCGGCAGGATACAAGGTGGGCTCTGTGTTTCCCTACCATGTGTACCTGCTCCCCACATAAGGTGCTGCTGGAGAGGATTTGGGCACTGTGATTAAGGTGACCTTTGATTAGGCCAGTGACTGAGGTGGCCTGACTGTAGCTCACGAGCCTGTTACATCCAGGTGTGGAGGTCAGATGGAAAGAGATAGAGATTCAAAGCTTTCCTGGTAGGTGCAGACAACCAGGGACACCTAAGGCAGGTGATGTGGGTAGGCTATGACTGTGTCCCATACATGGAAGACCTGAATCCCACCACCCAAGTGAACCTTTGGGCTGGGACCAGCCCAGCTGGCACCATGACCTCAGTCTCCTAATACCCTTGTCAGGACACTGGCCTGGTGAGATGACTTTTGACCCCACACTGAGAGACAGAGCCCCTTGTCTTAGGTGGCCACTAGTTTGCACAAATGTATTGCACAATAGAAAACAGATAAACTTTTAACCCAAACTCTAGCCTTCTACACAACTACCTCTTTTTCAATGGTCTGGGTTTTTTTTTTTAATTATTTATTTACTTATTTACTTATTTACTTATTTGGAACAGGTCTCACTATGCAGCTCAGACTCATAGTGATTCTCCTGTCTCAGCCTCCCCAGTGCTAGGATTACAGGTACGCACTACCATGCCCTTTTTTTGGTGGCCAGAATGGTGCGCTAGAGATCAGGACCAGCACAGCATGTGATACTGGGGATCAAACCCAGGTCCTTGTGCTTGCCAGGCAGGCACTTAGACTACTGAGCTATCTCCCCAGCCCCAGTGGTCAAGGTTTGTACCACACACTTCCCATTTTCCCAGAGGATTATGGGAAACCAAGCTCCACTCAGCCAAAGGCAGAAGCAATGGCAGCATTTGGAGGCAATGCGGAGCCAAACCAGCTGCCCTTGCCCCAGAGGTGCACTGGGGCCCTGAGCTCAGGAGTGAGAGGGTAAAAGCCCAGGGAGCTCAGTACCAAGGATAGTACTCCTGCCCAGCTCACCAACCCATCCAGATGGGGTATCCCAGACCAGGAAACAGTCTGACTCCCCAGTGGTGGGGCCACAGCCATTCCCAGCCTCGTGCCTGCTGCTGATAGGCTCAGGCTTCAGCCTGGCCACTGACCCAACCAGACCGCTGTCCATGCTCCATGACCCTTCTCCCCCGCAGTCATTCTGCCAGACAGAGGGCTCCCGTACACCAGGCCAAACCTCGAAGCTGCTGAGGGACCACGGGGCACTGGCGAAAGTACACAGCCTCACCAGACCCCCTTCCCATGATGGTCACACACCTGAGGCTTCCCGTGCCGGCTTTGTACCTGGAGATCCGAGCCATGGACAGAGGAAGGGACAGGGTGTCCAGCCAGCGCTTCTCGTACTTTGGTTCATCAGCTGTGGGTGAGGATGGCAAGGACAGTGCCTGTGCAAAATAAATGGGATTTGCGGGTCAGGGAGCTATCAGAAGCACCGGAGGACACAGGAGGAGTGGGCGTGAGGCTCCTGAGACAGCGGCACCCTCAGGTTCGGAAAAACCCACAGTGATGATGAAAGCAGAGATGGCTCTTCCAGGACCCAGAGGCGAAGGAGTACCTGAATTCAAAAGATTTCCTCCTATTTAACCTGCACAAAAGGGAGAAAGGCAGAGAACCAGAAGTGATACAGACACAGCATTTAAAAAGGGACAAAGCACAGCCCTGGAGGCTGCACCGTGGGGACCTGGAAGAGGCAGAAGCTGGCTTGAAACATCAGCTCAGAGCAGGCACGGAGCTGGGTACAGGACACCACCACTGGGTCCTGGAGGATGCCCAGGTCACGGGTCTCACTGCCTAACCACTGGTAATGAATGACCTTGCTATCTCTCCAGCAGACGCAGCACCATGTGGAAGCCAGGGGCAGGATGGTGCCCTCCTTCGAGGTACTGGGGTGAAGGAAGACATTCGGAAAAGTGCCTGGGCCCCTGGAACAAGGAATTCCAAGACAGGAATTCTGCTCCTCAGACAGCCCCAGGAGTGGGATTGGAGATGAGAGGACCTTCCACAGTGCCCGTTCCAGGTCCTGCAGAGGAAGCTGAGCTTCCCAGCCCATCAGAAACAACAGGTGAGGACTCCCCAGCCCCCAGGTAAAGATGCCCATGCAGACGTGACTCCCCAGCCCCTGGGCATGGACTCCCCACGTGGTTGAAAGGCTGAGACCACAGATCTTTCCATGTAAACTTTGGGTTTTGAGATCAGCAAGGTTGTGGTCTTCAGGGTGAGGCAGAGCCTTGGGAAAGGCAGCTTGGGGGGGACCTTCACTAGACAGCGTGAAAGTTGACACCTGGATGTCCTTGCACTCAAGTTTTAAATAATTGCGCTATTCACAACGAAATGGATGAGCCTGACAACATGCTTAGCCTTTAGGTGCTGAGCCCTGGTGGTAGGAAGGCCTAAGCTCACTCAGCTGGAAAAGCCTGAGTCTTCTCATGAGGTAGGAAGGTATTGGGTCAGAGCAGAGGTGCACAGGGCCAGACACTCCGGGGGCAGAAGGAGCCTCGGTTGGGGGCTTGTTCAGCTCAGAACTGCTGCAGGACAGGGAGAGCTCTCCCTTTCTATGAGCCACCTGCCTAGATGGGTATGTTCACTGAGGCCACTGTGATCAATGTCCCACACTGTGGTGAGAGGCAGGAGATCCCCAGTGTTCAGGGGAAGACGCCCCCTCAGGCTGTGCCTGGTTACCTCCATGCTGGGCACCTGGCCCACAGAGCCTGATTCCGATGTAGAAATATTACAATCCCTCCCGGACCCAAGGCTTGGAACCTCTGGGTGAGAAGGGAAGGTGGTGCCTGCAACAAGGGACATACATAACCTATGAGCAGGGACAGACCCTGGGGATTCGGGAGACATCTCATTCCCAGGGAGCTGGGCTGGCCCCCATGGTCTCTGAGCAGAGCTCTGGACATGGGCTGTGAAGCCCCTCAGCGCAGACCCCAGAACAGCACCTCCTCTACTGGAGGCTTACACTGGGGCAAAGAAGCCTCCAAGGACCTTGGAGAGCACCATGTGGACAGAGCAGGACCAGGCAGGCTGCCCCATGACAGCCTATGTGAGTGGGCTACAGGGACACCAAGCCCGGACCCCGCAGGGCCCACACTGTGGGAGCAGACAGAAGCGTCTTGTCACCCCCTCACCTGCATGTTCCCACGTGAACTAGAGCCCTGTGAAATAGATGGATGAGATATCCGCAGCCAGGTGTGAACCCTGCCAAAAGGCACAGGCACCGAGTGTCCTGCCAAGTGCTGTTATGACTGTAGAACTGGATTTGCCGCCTTGAACCCTAGCACAGCATCGCATAGCAGCAGGCCCTCCAGGACTCTGTCCTACGTCTTGAACCAGCTCCTGAGCTCTAGCAATCATCATTCACAAAACAGAAAATGAGTTTTATTGGGGAAAACAAGGATGTGCGGAAAAAAGAATACCTATCAGAAATGTGCTTTTTAAAGGAAAACTGAAGTCATTCAGCATCCGTGGATTGAATTTTTTTAGTCTTTTCCCACCCTCAGAGTTCAGCAAGAACTGCAAGCTGGGGGCACAGGGATGATTCCTTAAGCTAAAGTGTGGGGTTCGCCTGGGCAGCCTGAACCCCGCCACCCAGACTGTCAGGAGGCAGGTCCTGGGCTCGGAGCCCGGAGACGCTGCCTTGCTGGGATAGAAGCCTCGCTGGAGTGACTGCATCAGGGATCTGGAGGCAGGAGTTCATCCCAGCCTGCGGGTGCCATCAAATTGCTAACACCTCTGTCTTTATAAGTGGAGGATGGGGGGAGTCGCAGAGAAAAGAAAGGGTAGCCCGTGAGGACAGAGTCAGAGATGAGAGAGGCACAGCATGTTCAGGGGACAGACTCCAGGGAGGCAGGATCCTGTCCTACCTCCTTGGAGGAAGCGGCCCTGCCCTCACCTTAACCCAGATAATGGGAGGGCATCTCTGTTGTTTTTAACCCCTCACGTTTATGGCAACATATCGCAGTAACCACAGGAAACTAACTGCCAGCCGTGAGCCTGTGCTCCTTGAGCATAGCCTCTGGGCCTTAGCACTGGAAGGAAGCGGTGTCTTTGCAGGTAGGAGGTCCCCCCGAGCAGAGCCAGGCTCCTGGAGGTGAGGTGGAGCTGGGCCACCAGCGTGTGCCTGTTAATGCTGAGTCCCTGTGCACCAGAGCTCTAAGGCCTGCCCTTCTCGGCTGCTTCCAGCCTCCCTATGCCACCTGCCCCAACCCCAGCACAGAAGCCTGCGTCATTCACCACACTCCAGTGCCCCAAGCGTTCTTGGCAGTTCTGCTGGCTTGGAGGGTTACTAAGATAAACAAAGGGAAGTCACACAATGTCACACTGCTGGCACAGTGTAAAGATGGAGCTACTGTTCCAACTGTTTTGTAAGACCCCCCCCCCATCCTTCTGCACTTTGGTCCTCTGCATCTGTATTCCAGGACTCTATACAGAAACCCTGCCACCAAAGCTACACATGAGAAGGCTGCATATTAAGGCCAGGACTGACCCCACCCCATACCCCCATGCAGACAGTAGCAAAGACAGAGGTGTGGCCACCTGTCCCCCCAAAGCGCTCTGTTTGGATTACTGACTGCACGGCCCACAGCCCAGTAACCAAGGGACAGTGCTGCAACATTAAACATGGATTGATTCTCATTCCTTATGCTTTGTCGTTGGGTTCCAACCTCCAGGAAGCCCATGTTTCAGGGCTCCTGTAAGCACTGCCCTGAAGTACCTGCAGATGCACGCGCTGTTGATCACAGATTCCACACGAACTTCGCCGAAATGCACGCTTATTTCCATAGGCGGATGCCACCAGGCTAAGAATTCATCGCAACTTACTGCAGAGTGAGGGCTGCTTCTAGTTAGCGTTTAACCCCAGTAAACGCCTTCACATTACTGTGTATCTGCTGAGTCTTCCAACCTGTGGCTTCTCTGTGCTGTGCTGAATATGCTACACCACTTGTCACCAGGGCAGACACATGAGCAAAAAATATGGTCTCACCTTTGAGTATTAGAATAATACTCAACACTACTAATTAGGATTTCATAGTGGAATCCAGTGCCCAATAAACAATATTTCACTGTACCCCAGGGAATCAGAGGAGCCCCTTTTGGGTGTATCTGGTGGTTCATCGAGGTGTGATCTTGGGATCTTCAACTGGTCCCTACCCCTTCCTCTCTGACGCTGTTTCCCCGCCCTGCTTCCTGCCACCATGAACTCAGTGGCTTTGGTTTTCCATACCCTTCTGCCATGATGCTCCTGCCTTTCAGCCAGGCAGCCTTGGACTGAGTCCCCATGAGTCAGACTAAGCCTCTTCTTTCTGATGTGGGCATCAGGTATTGAGTCCAGCAATGGAAAAGCTGAGCAGTAAGAGGCACACCCTTCTCTTGCCTCAAAGGCCTACCCCAACCCGTTGGCCAACATTCTTGCCCAAAGAAGTAAGAATTGGGGTGCCTTTTGGGAACACACTGTCATGGTCAACGTGGAGCACCAAGCTGGACTCTTGCTCCATCCTCAGCAGAGCTTCCCATGGCAGAGTGAGAGCAGAGCTGAACAGTGGGGGATCAAGACCAATTCCTGCGCCACAGCCGGACTGCAAGCGCATGAGCACCAGCCAGTGCAGGGGCGCTGTGGTTTCCAAGAGAAGACTGGCAGCACTTCAGCAGCCACCCAGTCAGTACTACCCCAACTCTGTAGGCTTCCCACCAACCATCGTGACCCACGTCCAAGGTAACATGGAATGACAATCCATGTACCACCCAGCCTCAGTGACTGTGGACCTTGGTGCTTGGGTCGGAGCAGCCTGGGCTCCTGGCCTGGCACTGAGGGCTGGCATCAGAAGCCACTTCTGGGTGACCTGCTCCTGAGCCCAAGCACCCAACACCCAGCCTGTTCCTGAGAAGCCATGCACTGTCACCCAGCATTCTACAGTCGCAGAGCAATACGGTACCTGCTGTGATCAGTACCATGATTAACAGGGAACAAATTCAGCTTCGGGACTGAAAGGTCATTCTTTTAACAGAACATGAGTAAAATAAGTACTTACTGAGGATAACAGTATTCAAAGACAGTGGGAGAGGTCTTTCTCACTGGGGTTCACTTGACAAAAAAGCAAGGCTAAGACAGCTGCCGTGAACTAACCAGCGATCATACTATTTTGACCATTAGTTAAGAGCCCTCAGTATTTTCTCAACTCTAAACTCTTTCACAGGGCTTAATAAATATAGGTGAGTCTCTAAAAGCCACATTTCAGAAATTCAAAGCTGCTTAAATCACTCCATCTCTGGAGAATGGTTTTAGTTATCTATAAGTATCTCCTATTTGGAAAAATGCACCTAAGGGTTTTTGAAATGATACAAAAATGAGTTTTGTATTTGAAGCATCCAGCATCGTCTTTCCTATGTTTCAACTGAAACAGTCCTATGCTTAAACAAACCAGGTTTAATAAGCACTAACAAAATATATTTTTGAAAGACTAATTGTTGACATGAGTGATGGATTCTTGGATATCTTCTTTTTGCTGTATAACTCACATAAGCTAAATGGAATTTCTAGGGATCAAGAACTCTATTAAACAGCTCAAATGATGCAGTTATTTTAAGAACACACTGAATAAGCACAGATGCTTTTTGCTGGGCTCTGCCTGCAGCCAGGTAGGGGGTCACTTGATGGCTTGACTGAGTAGGATTAAAAATAAAGCACTATTAAAATTGGGGATGGGATGCTAAAAGCCTTCCCACGCACTAAGGCCCTGTGAGTAATGATTCCTTCCACTGAGACGGGGCTGGTCTCACCCTGGGAGTTTTATAGAAATGCCCTAAAAATCATCTTAGTACTCCATGCAGGTTACATTGAACTGGAAATGGGCTCTGAATTCTGCCTTGGATTAAAGATCATGCCCGTGTGTAGAGCCACAGGGCACCGCCAGGTGCGAGCACCTTAGGAGGGAAAGACTCACTGGAAGTGGAAGTCTGTGGCACAGCATCTAAGCTCCTCAGGACCATCAAGGGCTGACCTGCAGGTCAGGGACATCCCCAGGAGTGTCGCTGGGAATGCACATGCTTACTGTGTGGCTGCAGTGTCCGTTCAGATGCAGGCCGCTGTCAAATAAGGGTGAGGACGTCCTGCTGCTGTGGCTGCTGGATGGCCCTGGGGACCCTGTGAAGAAAAATAAGAGGTGTTGGCTCCGGATGACAGCTCATGCGTGAGTCACGGTGGCTTTGCTGTGACCGACCTCAGGACCCCTAAGCGCAGGGAATGATCACAATCCCTGTGGGGGTCCAGAGGGAGGCTGATGCACTATAGGCTGGGTGACCCACCAGTGTCTTTCAGCGGCATGGGGACTGGGATTTTTCACTCTGAAAGACATCACTTGGAAGGAAAGGGCCCTTACCCAGAGCCCCACTCTCATGTCCTGGCACGCTGTGGTCAGGACACCAAGCCGGGCTCTTGTATGACGAAGGATTATTCTCAGGTCACTGTGCTGTGAGTGGAGATGATGCCCCCAGGGACTTACAGTGACAGGGTCCCACTGAACACACGCTGAACCGCGCGGGTACAGCAGTGCTCCGTGAGCACCACTTCCCCACAAATTCTAGAGTCTTCCAGCAGACATGTCTGGCTTTGCCAGAATCAAGTTGAGCCCATAATGTTCCATGCCAACCCTGAACTATCACAGGACACAGAAGGTTCCTGCCATTTTGTGGCTCCAGGGTAAAGTTGTCTCTGTCCCTGTCACCGGAGTCTTCTCTGGCTGAACATGAGCCAAGCTGCTGTCCGTGTCACTCTGTGTCTGGTGCCTTCATTTTTGTGTCAGTGTAGCATAATCACAAATAACCAAGCGCAGACAGTGTGACGGGGTAAGCGCCCACAGAAACAAAACGCACCGAGATGCTGTCACTGTGTTGACCTTCCGCAGCCCCAAGGAAAGGGTCCCTGAGTGTTTGGAAAGTGGCTGACGTGCTAAGAACGCTGCAGGTGCAGGACAAGCACCAGCACGCCACGCATTATGACACAGCCAAGGGGCTGCAGCAGAGCAGAGAGCTGGACCTGACTCCATGCTGTGCAGAGCTATGACAGGCACCATCGGGGGTTGGGGACAAGAGATCCAGCAGCCCCCACTCATGCCCACACAGCGTGGCCACCTGGTGGCGCTATCTCCCACCTGTGTGGCGTCTATGATTACTGGCACCTGTGTAACACTTGGCCGTGTCCCCACAGAAAAGAAAGATGGGGAGTGCAAGGGAGGGTCTTAACCTCTAAGCAGCAGCTCTCACTGGCATTTCACAGGTAGCCCTTCTTTCCCCCCTTTGTTACTATTAATGCATCACGCTCCTTGCCTGGCAGGACGCTTGGTCAGCCCAGCTCTCTGCGGCCTCCAGTACAGAGCATTGTTTTGGAAACAGCACCATCTCCGCCTTTTAGCATCAAAGACCCACTCTACCTGCAGCTCTTGCCAGTACCTTCTGTTCACATCCATAACCACTTTATCACCAGTTTGAGAGTGAGGTCGCAATATTTTTAACCGCCTGCACTCTCCTTTTGAAAATCCCAGGGGGTGAACCTGAGGCCCAAGGATACACAGGACAGAAGAAGCCAACTATCTTATTTTTCTTTTGTTACTGAGACAAAATACCTGACACCCAAAGTTGAAGGGGGACAAGTTTCTAGAGGTTTCAGTTCATAATCAGTTGAGTCCAAGGCATAATGGGGTGGCACATGGGGGCATCAGAAGAGCAGCAGTTCATGCTGGCAGAGGACAGCAAAAGCAAGCAAGAAAAGGACAAGATAAGGCTCTTTGCCTCCCTTACCTTGTATCCAGGCCACCAGGATTAGGGCGGGGCCAAACCAATCAGCAGATCGATGTGGTAATCTCACCCTTACTCCAGCACCACACACTCTAGATCTAGCCATCTCTGAAAGAGCCCCACCTATGACCTCATGAGGCTTTGGGGGACATCTAGGCTTAAACCATGGCAGGAATGGAGAGCAGGTGAATAAATTTAAACTTACAGATATGTACAGGCACTAGACTTCAATTCTTTTTTTTTTTTTTTTTTAACATGGTACCAGGGATTAAACTCAGAACCCTGCACTAGCCAAGCAAGTGCTTATTCTACTGAGCTATCTCCCCAGGCCCTATTTCTTTCTGATGAAGGGGTAACTTTTAATCTAGACCTCAAAAGATAAATTTCAATAGTGACACTATTTTCTTTGGTGTATCACCAGCAAAATCTATGATTTAAAACTTTAAGCTGGGTGTGGTGGCAGGCTGCTATATGTCTAGCACTCTGGGAGACTGAGGCAGGAGGATTGCAAGTTCAAGCCCACCCCAGGCAACTTACTGCTTAGTAAGATCCTGTCTCATTAGGTAAAATAAATTTAAAAGGCTGGAGATGCAGCTCTGTGTAAAGGCCCTGGGTTCAAACCCCAGTAATTCCTAATGATATAGACAGCATGGATAGGCACGGGTCCTGTCCTTAGGCGAAGATGTGCGCTGGAGGTTGGCAGCAGCAATGTTTGTGCCCCACAAAGGAACGCGAGACACCATGCACATGTCGCCATGCGCGGCAGGTGGTGTGCTGTGCAGTGCAGGAACTGTGTCTTTACAAAAAGACCAAGATTCCAAATTAATGTAAAAAATACCTGGCGACCTGGGCTGGATCTCGACAGCTCTCCACGTGTCCTTTGATCTGATTCTTTAAGTGTAGCAGCCAGCCGTGGCACACGGATCTGGCGCGTGATTTCCCTCCATCGCCAGTTCTCCTACTGGACGGACACTGGGTCAGGCAAACAGGCAACCCAGTGTGTGGAGTGCAGCCAGGCAGAAGTGATTTTGCCTTCCTGGTGTGTGCGTTGGCTTTGGTTTTTTGCCTGAATTTTTGGCGGGACTACAGCTGCTGTGTGTGTGTGTGTGTGTGTGTGTGTGTGTGTGTGTGTGGTGTGTGCAATGTTTAGAGAAAGACCTCACTATGTAGCTCAGACTGGCCTTGAATTCACTATGTAGCCCACACTGGCCTCCAAACTAATGCAGTCTTCCTGCCTTAGCTTCCAGGCTCTTTAAACTTTTGGTTTTCTTTCTTTCTTTCTTTCTTTCTTTCTTTCTTTCTTTCTTTCTTTCTTTCTTTCTTT